TTTTAAGAAAAATTCTTTGAATAGTACCTACTTATTTTCTCCATCCCAAGTTTTATTATTGATATTTTCTAAAAATTTTACAAAAATTGGACTAAGAAGGAATTAAGAATTTTCAAGGTGTTCGGTTTGTTTTGCTAAAACGTTTATATACAGTGTGGTCCAATAAAACGTATCCACCCCCTTTTCTTGGTTCCTTCAGATTTAAAGACCCCTAGAATTTAGATAGGGAAATTACTAAGTGTGACACATTTTTGAAAAGTTAATTTTATAAGAAATTCAGTAATACCAATATTGTTGTGTCAACTTTCGATTTTAGCGCCATCTTGAGGGCGAAAATTAGGCACCTAACCATTCCTGTTTTCCTGAAATTTAATGCACAAATGCTCGGACAGGTCGATTTTTGAAGCATATTTTTTAACCCGCATCTTTAACCCCTTCGTGGGGACAATTACAGTTTTGGTATTTATACATATTGAAAAATTCACATAAATTTTGGTTATTAAGAGTCAAAATAATTATAAGTAGGTAATAAATTACTTATTTCGATAAAAAATTACGACTGAAATTCCAATAAAAACTAAATCTACTAGGTATATCAAAACAAAATTTCTGATTATCGTTTTCTGTTAAAATAAAGTAGTAGGTATAGAAATTAAATAAGAAAACAATTTAGGCAAACGTTCATTGTGGTTTCTTTACAATTTGGTTGCGAGTCGTCAGGAATGCAGCTGGGGAAGTCGCTGTTTTGGGACATGTTGAATTGGATCATACGCAAAGTACTCGTCAACTAACTGAAGTCTCGGGTGTCTCTCGTTCAACTATAATAGGGATTTTAAATGCTCACAAATTTCAACAAAACTAGATTAGTACAAGAACTGAACGAGGATGATCTTGATAGAAAGGCTGCAATTTTGTGAAGAAATGAGATAGTGTTTAATTGCAGATCGTGACTTATTTAATATTTGTTGTTCTGATGAGTGTACATTTCATTTGAATGGAGCTTTCAATAAGCATAATTGCCTTTACCGGAATGATAGTAACTCACATTTATTCCGTGGGTATCATACCTAACACCCTGAATAAATAAATGTATGGTGTAATATTAGGTAACCATATTGTAGGATCATTTTTCATTCCTGGAAATTTAACTGGTGAAGTGTGTACCTAAACATGCTTGAAGATGAAATTGACCCTCTTTTAACAGAAATATTAGAAAATGACCCAAATCATGAAGTTGATCAGTTTTATTTCTAGCAAGATGGAGGACCTCCGCAATATGTTGGGGCTACAAGAGAATTTTTAAATAACCTGTACCCTGGACAGTGGATTGGAAGGAGAGGCCTGCAAGATCACCGGATTTATCGCATCTTTGGGGACACTTGAAAAATAAATGTTTTGCTATGAGGCCTAATTCAATAGAAGATCTTCACCAACTGAAAATACCTGAATGCAAGAGGATAACACCTTAAATTCTACAAAATGTTCGCAATAGATTTGAACAAAATTTGTTTTATTGTATGGAAGCAAATGGGTCACATTTTCAACACGTGTTAAATTAACGTTTTAATAAATTTTTAAAAAATTCAATTTTACAGTTTATTACTTTTTTTTAGAAAACAGGTAAATTTAAAAAACTAACAAAATTGAAATGTAATTTCCTATTGAAATGTAATTTTCCATAAAATTAATTTTTTAAAAATGTGCCACTCTTGGCACTTTCCTTATCTAAATTTTAGGGGTCGAAGCGTCGATACTGAAATTAGGAAAAAAATGTGTCCTGCTCCAAATAAAAATCGACGTGTCCAAGTTTTTCTGCTTCTAGATGCATAATTTTCACCCTTTGGCAGATAACAGAAGCAGTTTTATATTTAATGCTGACGAGTCAGGATTCAACTGTGATCCAAGTAGAATCAGAACCATTGGTAGTAAAGGTAAAGCTCTTTGTCGTGTATCTGGTGGGTCTGCCAGGGACTCTATCACCGTACTGGCATGTGTTTTTGCGGATGGTACGGCTCTACCACCCCTGATCGTTTTTAAAGGAGCTGGTGTCCAAGCACGGTAGACGTCAGGAATTGCTAACCCCGGAACATTGTATGCTGCATCTACGAATGGTTGGATGGAAAAACTGCAATTTTAACACTGGTTTACTAATGGATTCATACCATACGTTAGGAATCTGAGAATTTGTAAAAATTTGCCAGAACAAGCTGCACTACTATTATACGATGGCCATTACTGTCATATGAGTGTAAGGCTAATCGGAGTGGCTATAAAATACAGTATCGTCCTTATGAAATTCCCAAGTCATCTAACTGATAAGATGCAGCCCCTGGACAAATGTGTGTTTGGCCCAGTAAAGCTCAGTTGGAATAGGCAATTAATCAAGTATGGTAAGCAACGGATGGGTCGTGTTTCAGGATGATTACCTAAAAACATATTTTCTGAGCTTCTCGGCTCAACATGGATAAAATCTATGCTATCTAAAAGTATTGGTATATATCCTGTTGTTTCGACCATTTTCCCGGAAAGAGTTTTCCATATATTTGGAAAAATACAGAAATAAGAAAAATACAATATGCAAATAAAGCTGCAATTGTTGAAAGTTTACTTAATACGACGATCTTTAGAAGCGAGGTTGAATAGAATATTTCATGTCAAGATACTTCGTTTCAAGTTTTCCAGAATTCTCAGCCATTAACTTCGTTTCAAGATTCCGAAAACTCTCGGCCATTAACTTCGTTTCAAATTTCTGAGAAGCCTCAGCAAAATCTCCAAGTAATATTACCCTTTCCAGTATTTTTATCCCTGATAAAGTCGTGCCTTTAAAACAAGAAAAGTTGATAATCCCCAGATTAAAACAACAAACATATGGGGAAGTTTTGACCTCAAAGTGCTGAAACGACTAAGAGAAGCAGAAGAGAAAAAGACAACCATACCTGAAAAATGTAAAAAACAAAAAACAATTACGGAAAAAACATTAAAACAAAAAGAAGAATCGACAGATAATGAAAGTGATATAAGTTTCCACGAGAGCGATGAAGATTCCTGGAATGAAACATTTGATAAAGATATAGACATTGAAACGGTAGAGAATATTTTGCAACATTCTGAAGACAAATTTGTGTTGGTTTGTTTCAAAGGAGGAAAAAGAAATGCCACCACATTCAAATATGTTTGCGTGGTTAAAGGTATTGATTCAGAAGAAATAAAAATCGAAAAACGAAAGTTAACTACATTTCTATAGATCAGATTGTAGGAATACTTCTAGATTTTGGGATTCAGATAAATAATTTTGTACACATTATTGGGGACTGAGCCAGTACAGGAGAAGAGCTAGAAGTGGTATGGCTGTTTGTAGCTACAGATTTTGAAATAAAAAAACCAAAATAATGATTTTTTATTTAGTTTGGGATAATATGGGGTAAATGTAAACATATGTAAGAATTATTTTATTTTCTATACAAATTTAATAAGTTTTATTTTACGAAACACTCGGTTTTGTCTTCCTAAACAGTCACAGCCTATGTTTATGTTAACACTAATAAGAGACGGAGGTATCGGATTACGAATATGGGAACTAAGCAGGAATAGAATACAAGTAATTTAAAATTTGAGTTAGTTGCTTTGCGGAATAAAATTAAAGTTCGTTCCAATAATAATAAACTAGTGAATAATTATAATTTTTGTGAGTGGATGTTTGCAGAATAGAGAGAGTTTTCTCACTGAGCAATTATGTTCTATCAATTATTTTTAATTTATAATCAAGTTATTTTACAAATGATATTACCCAATTAATCTATCAATCTTTTATAGTTAATTTGTCAATAATTCTGATGTAAAGATATTTTGTCAAGTATTGAGATAACCTTATATCATAAATTAACGGGGTTATATTAAATAATTAAAACTTATTTGATTTTTTACTTATATTTTGTTTTCTACAAGGTGTAATCAAAAGTAAAGTGAGTTACATTGTCTGTTCTGGCATAGTACATTGCCGTCGGTGTATGCGTTTATTTTGGGATTACTGTTTTCCAGAGTCGCCGTACCATGGTTGGTGCGGGCTAGTAACATTGCAGCCACTGTGCTAGTAATGGCTTGATTTATATATCGATCGATAGTTTGGGCATTGCGGTCAGTGTCAACAGAATTGAGAATATAACTTTGTGTCAATTATGGAAAATCTAAAGTTGTATCAATTATATATTTTTTTAATTAATAATTTAACATAAAGAGTTATCAATATGATTTTCTTGTTAATTAAAAGAAAAATAAGTATTTTATTTATGAATATCACCTTTTCATAACTTTGTTTAATTTTAAACTGTTTTTGGTAAACTTGATTGCTCATACTTGTTTTTTTTTTATTTCAGGTACGCCATCTCATTCGTGCATTAATTATGTTATCTATTTTAGCTAGTAGTATGAAAAATATACAATGACGTTGAAGTTACTGTTCATACAGTTTACTAAGATTGATCTTAAGATTGCAATTTTGGTACAATCTTCTTTCTATTCTTCGCAAAAATAATTTCAATATTTAAATCTATCTACGATCTCTTACTTACTCACCCACTTCAATAGAAGCGTCCCAATTTCTTCATTACTTCGATTTTTTCTTATAATTCTGAAATTCAATTCCCTTTAGGCTATAAAATTGAGTAATCCTTGACACACAAGTTCAACTCTAACAATTAAGTTTGCAAGTGCAAATAAATATAGTGAATCAAAGAAAAAATCGATGTAAAACAAGCAACATTTCTAGAATATTAGCTTGGTCAGTCGGAACCAATAAGACCAGTAAAAACCATACATATACACTTAAACAATTTATACAACATATCCACCTTCGAAAACTCCCATTGTCTAACCGTCCTTTCGCGAACAAAAACCGTTCAGGTCCGAATCGTCTGCTGAATACTTATCACAAATTTTTCATGCCCTTACTCTTGAACCAACCAAATATATCACAAATAAAAAACCGTTAGTCTTTAAGTTATTCACACGGAAATTTCTTTCTTTTCTTGCACTTTGATATCGAGAGTTTTCACCGCACTGATAGTCGTTGTAGTGTCTTTGGGAACGGAAGTAGACGTCACTGTCGTCGAACCATTTTTCGTCGAACTTTCACCAGCATTCATTTGATTACTAGCGATGTTTAATCGGCTTTGATTTTGATGTTGGCGAATTAACGCGCTGGGATTCGGTATATTTCGGATATTCTGATTTTGATTCGGTCGCAGATTGCGGATTTGCGTACCAGTCGGTCGGAATTTCTGGATTTCGTTGAGTTTCGGCATTCGTTGCAAGTTTGCCGTCTTCATTTGAACGGGACTTTGGAGACTGGGTATCTTTAAAGTCTGCAAGTTCGGTATTTGCGGTTTTGGTTTAATTGTTGCGGGCTGGTTGTTTAAATTGGGATGTTCTGTCGCTACTTTGGACAGCATTTGCAAATTGGATAAAGCTACGTTTTTATCTGTTCTGTTTAAAGCGTTTAGTTGTCGGTTGGTTGTTATAGTGAGTCCGTTTGTTTTTTCGATTTTTGGTGAATTTCTTGGGGATGATTCTGGTGATTTGTTTGATAAATCCAGCGCGCCGATATTATCGCATCGTTCTGGCATCTTTGGTATAATACTAATGCCAGATTTCAAATTAACTGATTTTTTAATCTTCTCCAATGGTATAGTCGCTGGTGGTGGTCGTTTAACTATTTTTTCGACTGGTTTCGGAACGACCTGAATCGGACTCGTTGTAGAAGGATTTATTAAAGTTATTTCCAAACTAGGTCTCTTATCGTTGATACTATCATTCTCTTCAGCTTTTCTTTTCACGCCTTGCTCGATTTTGCTTACAGTGAAACCAGGCGGGCAATGTGTAAGTAATTTGTTCTTGGCGTTGTTAAACAACGTTTTCTTTTCCGGTTTCACCGGTTGCTTCGGTTCTATGGTGCAACGTTGTCGAAGATTTTCAATTTTCATTTCCAACGATTTATTATTAACTGTAACTTTATTTTCAGTCTTCATTTGAGGCACTTCTTCCGCGTTAAGTTTCAATTTAGCGCTTTCGATTTTATTCTGTTGGATTTTTTCGTTTCTTTGATACTTTTCAGCGAAAGCCTGATAGGTTCTTTTGGTTTGAGCCTTTTGTGCCTGTTTTTCAGTTTGTTCGTTTCGTTCTAAATGAACGGTTGGAACTTTCTTGCCCCATTCTTTTTCTGTTGAATTGATGAAAGCGGTTTTATTGGAGGTGCTCGATTCGAGGAAAGTGCCAACTTTTGGACTTGTACTGGTCGGTTGGGTGTTTTGTTTGGGGAGAATAGCCGATTCTGTTACTTTGCTGGATGGTTCGGGAACTTTGATTTTCAGTTTTTTAATTTCTTCTGGAACTTTTAGTGTATTTTTTGGTTCTGCATTACCATTATGTGGTTTACTATTCGTTTTTTCAGGAATTGTGATCGTATCTTTGGCAAGTATTATACTAGGGACTGTTTGAACGTTTTTATCTTCACTTGAGATGTGTTTGTGCCTAACCTGTCGCATTTGAAGAAGTTTTTCCTTCGAACTTAGCTCCGAACTGTAAGTTTTGTCTTGATCATTAAACTGCGTAGAACTCCTATGATGTTTATGTTTGTGGCCGTTATTGGTTATCTTGACTTTCAGCTTCAAGTCTTCTTTGTTTGACGCTATTTCGGCGTGAAGTTTTCTTCTCTTGTGGGTGAATTCATTTTTTGAATGTTTGCTCTTTTTCCGTTTCTTGCTAACGTGATAACTGGTGCAGTTTTGTTCTTCCTTTCTTCGCGATTCCTCATCGTGTTTTTTCTGTAAAGCCCATTCTCTGTCTCTTATCTCTGCGAATCTTTTGATTTCTTCTTGGTCGGGTTCTTGGTACTCGAAAACGCAGTCTTTTTGCGGAGATTTATCAGGTACTTTTTTGGTTTCTTTCTCAGCTTGGCTCGGCTGTAAATGGAGATGTGCCAAAAGTCTTTTCTGTTGGTCCTTTTGGTCCTCCGTTTCGTCTAAAAAAGGTTTTACTTCTAATTTTTCTATTTTTTCTTCTTTAGTTAGATTCGGAGATCTCTGTGCTTCGGTGGTCGATTTTACCGGTACTATTTGAATTTGTTCCCCTTCAAAACGGATTTTAATTGGTTTGATCTTCTGTGGGGTGAAGATGCGGTAAAAGAACCTCAATGGCTTTTCCTGAAACAAAATAAACTGGTTTAAAATACAAACTAAATTAGTAATTATTTATAAAAATATCCACTCCTTTTCAATTAATTCGAAATAAAATATAAAAATGTATGACCAACTGGTTCAGGTAACTCCTTATCAACTGTTGCAAGTTAATCTTAACGACATTCATGATGATGTCGGTTTTTTAAACACATTAAATTCAATAGATTAAAGCTCAAACTTAACAACTTAGGGTGAGATTACAAAACGTCTGTAACTTTGCAGATCTGCAGATATGGCGCCAACTTTGCAGATCTGCAAATATGACGGACTTACAGATACAAGTATCAAGTTTTCGTATTCCAAAAAATATCTGCAAATTCGCAATAAACCACAATAAATTTTGCTAATTTGTAGATATTTTTTGAAATACGAAAACTTGATACTTACATCTGTAAGTCCGCCATATTTACAGATCTGCAAAATTGCCGCCATATTTGCAGATCTGCAAAGTTACAGACGTTCTGTAATCTCATCCTTGATACATAAAAAATATAATAAACCTTCTAACTTTCGACATAAATCCTCCTCCTTTATTTTTAATGACAGAATTAAAAACTTGTCTAACATTAGTTTTAATGATAATGAAATTGAGTTTCTCTCCTTAGGTTTAAAATTTGCAGTTAAACCTAAGATTCACAAAAAAGATATTGAAGAAATGTCTATTGATGTAGATTTTATTATTAACCACTTTTCTAATGACATGATCTTACGAATCTTTTTACATCACACTGCATATCCATTTTCAATAGATACTTGTCCCTTAACACTATTGAACCCCATAAAAACACACATATTAAACAACATATTAATTTATTAAAATCCATTAAAGACAAATTACTTAACAATAATCTCATTATCTCTAAGACTGACAAAGGAAATTGCTTGGTTATCATAAACAAAGAAAACTACATACTTAAAGTTGAAGAATTTCTTAACAATAATGATTTTATAACCTTCTGCAGAAATTCATTAACTTGTTTAAATCTACTCTTACCAAATATAAAGACTTTTTCACTGAAAAGGACATTCAATTTGTTAACAATTTCATTTAAAAAAAACTTATTTGCCTCGTTTGTATGTCCTTCCTAAAATACATAAATTAGAGATTCCAATGAGACCTGTAGTTACTTTCTTCAACTCTCCTGAAAAATTTTTCAATAACTTCCTTAACTCTTCTCTTAATTATAAACCCAAATATCCTGTTTTAAATTCAATTGATTTAGTTAACAAAATTAAGAACGTAAATCTAAGTTTTGGAGCTAAGTTAGTTTCTTTTGATGTTAGCAATTTATTCACTAATGTTCCCAGAGAGGAAACCTTTCCTATTATCAAGGACCTTCTTACTAAAAATAACTTCAACCTTCATTCTATCAATATTATCTTGGATTTACTCAAAATTTGTCTTGACCAAGATTTCTTTATTTTTAATAAAACATTCTACAGACAACCCAGTATTCCTCTAAATCCTTTGTTAGCAGACTTATTTCTAGATCACTTAGAAACCAAAAAATTTTTGAATGATTTCCCTAACAACCGAAATTCACACTGGTACAGATATGTTGATGTAGTAGTAGCAGCTCAAAATAGATGTCTTCGGCTAGCTCTGGGGTATGACCGGTATGCCAGAATAGACGAAATACACAGACAGACACAAATACCACTAATCAAAGACTTTATTCTCAATACAGCCGAAAATTTCTACAAGCGGTGCCTTCCTGATAATGTAAGGGATGAAATCCTCAGCATCTATCGGGGAGACAACAGCGTAGAAAACACGGCTGTATTCACGCAAAACTTGACATATACAGAAACAGACAATAACATCCTCCTTAACGGTCCGAAACAAACTGACTAGCACTTCACACCGACTAGATACTCAAACAATCTAGTCGGACGGTGGACTAAACGGTGAATCGGCTAGCGGTGCATCGAGCGCGAAATCCAAAACTAGTCCGACGGAAGACTGCACGATGACGTCACTCAACAGCGCGGAAATCGGGGCCTACTCGAACTCCGCTCTGACGACTGATTTCACCGTGTAATCTCGTAAAATAGCTACTACCCTACGTAGACTATCAAAATGACACTCATTCACACAAGGACAACCCTGGTTTTTCGCTCTCTACAAAATTAAATTCACACAAAAACTCACACTTTCACTTCAATTTCCGACCACAAACTCGACAATAATTACCATATTATATCTTCGGATAAGGAGATGGTACTTTTACCTCATAATTTAAAAATTGGAAAATGTAGTTCGGGTTAGGACGTCAGTCGCGTGAACTTATTTGACATGTGAATGCTATACCAATGATTTGTACATATTTTATTTAAATAAAAAGATTTTAAAAGTCGAGCGCGAAATCGTGAATTCCGCGACAGATGCATGGCTGGAAGGTACACAGTTCACTCTGCCTGTGAAATGCATGAACAACCAAAGACTATACCAACGCACACACAAAGACAACCCTGTTTTTTCTAGCTTTTTCAGGGGACAAATAACCTTGACTAAAACGCGACAAATCCTCAACCATTTCCCATTACCGATTCCAAATTAATTCACAATTCCTCAATAATACCGAACAGGTAAGGAGTAAGGGCAGATATATTTTCCAAATTGGAAGTCAGACGACTTATTGTAGGCGGATTTATCCTCCTTGGTTTCGACCTGCACGAAAAGTCCTTATAGGACCCGGTAGTGTGAATTACAATTAGGAGCTTTGACATGTATTTAACACTTTTATTGTAAATAAAATCTTTGTTATTGTTAACTTCACACCTTCTGAGAATGTTACTGTTCTTCATTTCTTTCATTTCTTAAAAATTAAACAATTTCATTCGACTTTGATGTAACTGAAAGTTAACAGTAAAAAAAATCATAATCACTCATATTGAATTTGACCTTGTCATAGATAATGTGCTTGTTAATAATCTTATTGTGTTGGAAAAAGTGCTGAGTATTTGCATTTTCATATAAGTACAGCTACTTTTTATAAAGTCTGCTTTAAATGACAATGCTACTGTAGCACAAATAAAACTGACGGTTCAATAACCCCGGCCATTTCTTCTAACAGTAATAGAAATGCTGGATAATAGTAATACGACGAATTTAAAATGCTATTATTGATGGACCGGTTTGGAAGTTAATTAACCAATAGTTTTAAATAAACTATATTTATGATGAACAAAAAATTAATTACATTTAAAACTATATAATAAATTAAACAATATATCTGCATATTTTAGTAACATTTTTTTCAATAAAATTGTCAGCAATAATGTACTTTCGGTTGATAAAAACTTTTGAGAGAAAATTATCCAATTTTATTGGATTAGATTTTAAGAATACGAATTTTCTCTCAATATTTCTCTTCCAAATTTCAAGAAGAAATACCTAGAAGGGTAAGTGCGGGGTTTTTTATACATGGATTTTATTATAGACTTGAATTTTTTGAAGATTATCTAATCGATCCCCATGAGATTACCGTAATATAGTTGAGACTTTCCTAACGCATAGTAAAGAATCTGTAAGTGGTTAATATGCAAAAGATTGGCATAAAAAAAGAGAAATGATTAAATCATCCTCGAAGTTAAAAGGTACAAATATATTTATAGATGAAGATTATCCGAAAGAAATTTAAGAACAGCGAAAAATATTAAGAAAGCATTTAAGGGAAGCCAGAGAGAATTAATTTAAAGCAAATATAAATGATAAGATGCATACAGTAGAAGATTATGAAAAGATAAACAAGAGGAAAAAAACAGGAAATAAGGTGGACACTCCAAAATACTAGCAGATGACATAGGGAAAGAAAAGGACAGGAAAGGAAGAATAAAGACATAAAAAAAGTAAAAAAGGGTGGATAGACAATAAAATTCAACAAGAAGGAAGTAAGAATAAAACAAAAGGCTTTTACAAGAAAATGAAAGAATAAAACAAAATCTACAAAGGAAAAACTAAGGAAATAAAAAATAAAAATGGAAAAGTGGTACTGGAAGATGAAGATGAGGAATACAAGCAAATGTGGATAGATTAATTTAAAGATCTTTTAATCGAATTGGAGATGGAAGAATCTGAGATGATATAGAAAAGAAAATAAAATAAATGGACATACAGTCTGTTCGCTATACTTACGCGGGTTTCGGATTAAAATTTTTTTGAGTATTTCCAGGTAAGTACCCGAAAGTTTATCTGTTCTTTGGGGAAATATCAACTGGTTAAATAAAATGAAAAATAATATACAACTTTTTAATTAAATAATAATGGAGAATCTTTTGTATAATTGAGAGCAGAATTAAACTTCTTCATTAATAGAGTCTAATGTGGCTATTATAAAACTAATAATAATTTTATATTACTCTTCACACAAAATATATGGTCTATGTATAATAGGGTTATTTAGCTCAAATAAAATATTTTCTAACATAAAAATTTGTTTCATGTAGACAATTTCAAATGAAAAATAAAAAAATTGAACTTGCCAACATAAATGAAAATCAGTCATTATCATCCAAAATATCATAATCGTCATCATCATCACTGTCATTACCATTAATTGTTATTATGATTGGACTTATTTCGTTTATTTTATTTTCACGAGTCCACCAATCTTCTATTAGTTTCTCGCACTTGGATATACAGTTCCGCCACACTTCTGGAGTTGCAATTGAAAGTGCTTTTCGCCAAGTTTCCCGAACTGCGTCGTCACTATAACCATTAGGCCCAATATGGTTGTCATAATATTGTTTTGCTATTCCCCATATATATTCGATGGGATTAAACTGGCAATGATACGGTGACAGACGTAAAACTTGATGACCGTAACTTTCAATAATCTGATCCACAACAAAGGTTTTTGGTTTTGCGTGTATATTTGCCAAGTGTAATAATTCTGATTTTAATATATATTGAGGAAATGGTATATGTTCCTTTGTCAACCATTCTTTAATTTTATGAACAG